AAACCTAAATAGACAATAGGGGAAATTATTACTGTATTTACACAGAAGCCTGGCATTGGGAAAGGACACTTTGAGGAGATTGTCTGGAAATGGAATAGACATTACTGTGCTCTGGTTCCTTGCTTTCTCCTCATGACTTTGGGCTTAGACAAGGTTAAGGAAGAGGAAATGTGTTTTTCCTCTTATGCCACCCTAGGCTATTGCAGTTGGTGATGTTCTTCTCTCGTTTTCCCTCTTTGAAGGAGTTCTTTGAAGAAAAATGTGCTTCTTCAACCAATTGCAGTTTCTCCTCCACATAAAGAACTCTTAAGGCTACTATCAGGATAGAAGCAAATTAAACTGAAAGTTCATCTGCAGCTTAGAAAAACAAAGACATGGAGTTTTGAGGAGTGAAGATAGCATGGTGTCGGCCATGGGTGATCAAGACACAGCCAGAAAATGTGGACCAGTTTCTTCAAACTACGGCTTTTCTGCTGTCTGCTTGCAGTGTTGATGGTGGTGGTGCTAGTCATCAATGTTACTCAGGTAGAGGTGAGTACCCAGTATACTCCTTCATAACTAAGGAACCTAATCTGGGAATTTGGGGCTAACTAACTTGAGAAAATGTTGGTTATCAGGAAGCTTATCCTGCTTACAGTTACTGTTTTCATGTATTCAGTCAGTATTTGAGTGCCTACAGTGTCATATACTGTGCTGGAAATTGAGGATACAGTGATGAAGAAGACAGACATTTCCTCACTTATGGAGCTTGCATTCTAAATGTGCATGGGAGAAAATAATAAGTAATAATCATAATCACATAATAATAAAGGTAATTAGAGATTGTGAAAAGTGTTATACAGAAAGAAAAAAAATGTTACCTAGAAAGAAAAGTGTTACATAGTCTTGGGGAGCTTTAGAGTGATAATAAAGTCTCTTCAAGGAAAGGACCTTTTAGTTGACTCCTGGCAAAAGCTGAAGGAGCATTTGAAGGGAAGGAGTCGATGAGACTGTTTTGAAGATTACTGGATGGCATTCAAGGGCAGGGACTGTGTCATACTGAACCCCTCACAAGTGCCTGGCACTAACAACGTACTTAGTAGTACCCTCTTTACCCCCCTGCATGAGCTCATGTATCACCAAAATTTGTGGAGTAATTTTTATATAAAAGGATGTTGTCCTTTTTGTTTTGTTGGCTTGTGATACTTCTCAGGTTACAAGTCCAACTTAACTATGACATTTCTTTTCTTACTGGGTTTCATTAGCACAAGATGTTTAAAGCTAAGCCATAGATTTTTTAAAAAATTTCTCCTGCTGGAACTCACTTTGTGGTTTTTAGCAGAATCCTAATCTCGCTGGGAAATGGGCACACTAAGGTCCTACAGATTTTCTTCTGTGAGCCAAATTAGCAAACTTTGTTAAGTACTTTGAAGAATGTGAAATGATTCTGTTAAAGACTTTGTTAAAGATTTATTAGAAATGGGCATAGGGCATAAACACTAGTTATTTATTCTTCCTTTTCTTGCATGTTTTGCTAGATAAGGCAGTGCCAATTCCACATTGACAGTGCCTTGTACCTGGAAGCTGTATTGAAACTCTTTTTTTAAAGTTTTTCTTTTTGGTCTCAAAAATAATGTTGTTTTTTTTTAACACATAATATGTGCCATCTAGCACATATTATGTGCTAGATGTCTATATGTCTGTAAATAATCATATTCCATGCAGTTACTACTCTTTGGAACTATTATGACTAATATCCCTGACAGATTAGTCTATGTGAGCAGATAATTATTATATCACGATGACAAAAAGTGGAGATGACACAGAATAAAAATTCATTTAATAAATATACCTAGAACCACACTTGTTGTTATTCAAAAAAACTTTCACTGTTTCCTGTAAACAAGTTAACTTAATACAAGTGTTTTTTAGCCATAGTTTTCTGGAAAATATACATGAGGAAAAGTACATGAGCCATATAGGTGCTTAAGCCTGGACCTGGTCTTTCTATTCTCACTCCATTCTCAAATGAGAAAAATTTTGTGAAGATACCTTTTGTTCCTTCAGTCTCCTGATTTGTCTTCTTAGTAACTACAGCATAGTTTACTATTTAAATCACATAGGTATGTATGGTGTAGAAAAAGAGTAAAACTTTGGCCAATGTAAGTATACAAGACAATTCTCAGCTCTTTTTTAAAGTAAAAGAACGTTTAAGTATTAGATATTTTTTAAAGAATGAAGTGGAAGATACATAGAATAAAAACTGCTGTATAATTATGTACAAAATGAGAACCTCCTTTTTAAAAGTTTTTTTGTGGTAAAATATACACAACATCGAGTTTGTCATTTTAATCATTTTTAAGCATACAATTCAGTAGCATTAAGCCCATTCACGTTGTTGTGCAACCACCAGCACCATCTATCTCCAGAACTTGTTTGTATTCCCAAACTGAGATTCTGTATCCATTAAAACCACAATTACCCATTCCTCTCTCCTTCCCCCATGCCCCTGGCATCCACTATTCTATTTTCTGCCTCTATGAACTTGATGACTCCAGGTACCTCGTATAATTGGAATAGTATGCTTTTTGTGACTGGCATATTTCTGTTAGCATAATGTCCTCAAGGTTGTATTGTAGTGTGTATCAGAATTTCTTTCCTTTTTAAGGCTGAATAATATTCCTCTGTCCAACACATACCTGCAGAAGAACATTATTTGGCCTTAAAAGAGAAGGAAATCCTGATATATGCTATAGCATGTATACGTGTACCACATTTTGTTTATTCATTCATCTGTTGATGGACATTTGGGTTGTTTCCACCTTTAGGCTATTGTGAATAGTGCTGCTGTGAAAATGAGTGTACATATATTTCTTCAAGACTTTGCTTTCAATTCTTCTGAATATGTACCCACAAATGGAATTGCTTCATTATTGTTTTCCATAGCAGCTGCACCACTCTTCATTATTTTTTTATTTTTATTTATTTTTATTTTTTATTTTTTGAAGGCCACTGACTTTATTGATCTAAAAAACTTTACAGGGACAGTGACTATTCTGCCAAGAAAAGGAGCCAAATGGCACCAAACAGACTGGAGGTTAAAGGTGTGGGTGAGGGAAGGGACCAAGAGGAATCCACTCAGGAAAGCTGGTAACTGCTAACATGGAACTGGCAGGGGAAAGAGAAGGGAGATGCATGCAAGAGCAAGAATTCCAAAAAAGTTGAAATAGTGAGGGGAGAAAACTCCCAAAAGACCCTGGAGTACATCAGAGGTGACTATGACAAAAGCAATCTTTTCCTTTGTAGAGGACACTCAGCTGCAAATTCTGAAAAATCAATGCTGGGAGTAGGGATTGTGGGATTCCCAGAGAGCATGACAAGAAAGCGTTGCACCACTCTCGAAGGCAACCAAAGCAGTTCCGGGACTGCTTGGCATTGGTGCCACATGTGTCCTTCACCCATTCCCAGAAGAGGTCTTCGTCTTTCTTTAGCACCAGAAACTGGCCAAGGATCACATAAGCCTTGTCAAAGCCCCTTTCCTCCAGCTTCTTCCCCAGGACTTCACCAATCCCAGTGAGGCTCCCCACTCGCTTTTCTCCCATAGGCTCTGCCATGAAATCTTGGTGCTTTTGGGAGGTTGTCATCTTGATCAGGTTTAATATCCGGTTCCTGTAACGGCTCCTTGTGCCACCTGGCTGCTCCCACCGATACCTCAATACACTAGAACTTTCTCCAACTTCCCCACTCTTCATTCTTATCAACAGTGTACAAGTGTTGCAATTCCTCTGCATCCTCACCAATACTTACTTTCTGTTTTTTTGATAGCAGCCTTCCTTATAGGTGTGAGACAGTATCTCATTTTGTAGTTTTGATTTACAGTTGTTTTTTTTTTATCCATCTGTCAATCTATACTTTTTAAATGGGACATTTAGACTGTATACATTTAATGTTAATATTGATAAATGAGATACTGTTCTAGTCATCATGTTGATTATTACCTAGTTGCTTTGTTGTCTCCCTGTGTTACCGTTTTATAGGAGCTGTAAGTTTTTACTTTCAAGTATTTCTACGCTGGTGAGTATTGACCATTCTTTTCAGTGTTCAGAGCACTTCTGAGCATTTCTTGTAGGTCAGGTCTAGTGGTGCCAAATTCCTTAGTGTTTACTTGTCTGAGAAAGACTTTATTTCTCTTCCATTTATGAAACATAGTTTTGCAGGATACAGAATTCTTGGCTTCTATTCTATTTAAGTTGTTATTCTATTTAAGAAGATTATAAAGATGGGACCCCAATCCCTTCTGGCTTCTGTGGTTTCTGGTGAGAAGTCTGCTGTTAGTCTGATGGGTTTTCCTTTATAAGCTACTTTGTGCTGTCTTCTTACAGCTTGCAGGATTTTCTCCTTCACTTTGACTTTGTCCAGACTGATGATTATGTGTCTTGGTGATGTCCTGTTTGAAATGCATCTTCTAGGAGTCTGATGACCTTATGTCTGGATGTCTAAATCTCTAGGAAGACCAGGGGAGTTTTCTTCATTATTCTCTCATATAGCTTTTACATGCTTTTTACTTTTTCTTTTCCCTCAGGGATGACTATGATTCTTATATTTATATGTTTTACATAATCCCATATTCTCAGAGACTTTGTTCATTTCTCTTGACTCTTTTTCCTTTATTGTTGACTTTCTGATTTAATTTGACAGCCTTGTAATCAAGCTCTGAAATTCTTTCTTCTGCTTGGTCTAGTCTGTTGTTAAAACTTTCCACTGTATTTTGAAATTCCCCAAATGACTCTTATTTTCAGAAGTTCTGTTATTTTTTCTTAAGTATCTGTCTCTTTAGTGAATTTTTCATTCATGTCCTGAGTTATTTTTTTTTTTTTTCTCTTTGTTGGTTTTCAGCTTTCTCATGGATCCCATTGAAATTTACTTGTGATCCATAGTTTGAATTCCATATCTGACATTTCAAAAGTTTCCTTTTGATTGGAGTCCATTGCTGGAGAGCTAGTGTGATCCTTTGGGGGATGTCAAAACAGCCTGTTTTTTCATATTGCCAGAGTTCTTATGCTGATTGCTTCTCATCTGAAACCTCTTCTATCAGTGCAAAACAGATAGTTTTGTGGTTCACCTGTACCCCTCTGTTGGGAACTCTGCTGCTCAGTGTAGAGAGGGAGAAGTACATTGCATTCAGCTTGTGCAGGTAGGTATCCACTTTGGTGTTGCTGGCAGTTCAGGTTGATTGGACCTTAGACTCCTGGAAGAGTGTTCAGGTGCCAGCAATGGTGGGTTAGGTTAGGTAATCTCTAGTTTCCAGGTCCCTGGATGGCATACTGAATCTTGAGGGGACCAGACCGAGGCCAGGCTGGCAAACTTGCCCTTAAGCCTCCCTGAATTCAGGTGCTGGCTGTTGATAGTGAGGGACACGACAATCTCCTGCTTTGAAGAATGATTAGGCAGGAGAAGTATGGATGCACTGTGGGCCTGAGACAGGAGGAGTGGGTCCCTCTTGAAGAGATTAGTAGAGGTAGGCAGCTATTGGGCATACAAGCTGCTCACACCTCTCTCTCTTGGCAGTAAAAGCAGTCTCTGTCATTTGGGGCCCAGAAGAGCCCAAATTCCCAGCTCCCACCCTGACCCAACTGCAGCAGAGGTGGTAGAGGCAGCTCAGGGCTATGTGTAGGGCTACCAGACTAGCTGTGGGCTGTGGCTGAAATGCTCTGGAGGGGGAGGAATAGTTGTGCCAGGGACTTGCCTCCAGGAAGGGTAGGCTCCTCCCAAAAGATACAGGAGCTTGGGGAGAGCACTGCTAGCCCTGCCCTCCCTCAGTGGAGATGGTAGTTTTTGTCCTTGGGGCACACAAAAGCATTTGCTGCAGCTTTTTAGAGGGACAAGAGTGAGCCCCAAGCTTCATGGAAGCCTGAGTGTCATAGGAACTCTATCAGACGCGGGCAGCTGCTCCCAAGTGCCCTGGCCTAATCGTCTCCTATGGAACCCTCATCATTCGCAACTGGAAAAAGCAGTGGTGGGCAGGGGAGGGGAGGAAGAAGAGAAAGAGTAGGCCCCAAATGGTGGGGAGCTGGTACCCTGGTCCTCTTTGTCCTAAGGGGCCCTCTAGTGTACTGTATTCTCCTCTTGGCTGGAAGCAGCCTACCCTGAATGCCCAAGCTCCAGGAGACCCACAGTTCCCCTGGGACCCACCAGTTCCCCAAGGCTGCTGTAGTCTTAATGGGTGCTGGGGAGCATTGGCTGTGGATCCAGCAATGTGGAGACCTAGGGGCTGACATTCCTAGGTTGGGACAGCTGCAGAAACATGGCTTGTCTGTGTGGGGAGGAAAAGGAGCCACACCCTCTGTGGAGAACCTGGGCATACTGAGCAGAGTACTATTGGGGATGTGCCCCCTCTGCAAGCCTGGAACTCATTGTCCCATAGCACACCTGTGCCCAGAGTTTATACTTGAGAGCAGAGACAGCTATGTCCACAACATTGGGTGGTTGGAAGAGGGAAATTCCTGACTCCACATTGCTTCTCGGGCTCTGCTGCTGCTGCTGCTCTGGGCTGGGGCGCTCTCCTACCCTGTGTATTCCTCTCTGCACGCACATCTTCACTGGGAGGGGTGAAGACAACTTTGGATCACAAGCCAGTGGCTCTCAAGTGCAGGGATTCCACCTTCTTCTGTCCCAAAAAGCATTCACAACACTTCCCAGTCCTTGGGGCAGCCCAGAAATATTCCTGGTCTCCTCTGTCTCCCTGTTCCTTTGTGGTTGTCATAGTCCGAATGGATGCTGGGAATGTTCATGTGGGATCCAGTGACAGTGAGACTGAGGGGCTGTGAATTCCCTGGTAGGGTAGAGGCACCTGACATGTGTGCAAGCACTATTGCACTCACTGTCTCAGCTTGGGTCTGTGATAGAGGGAAGCGACCCTATGCGGGCCTGCCAACCAGTATTCTGTTCCCAGGATGCTCTCAGTTTGCCAGTGGCAGCAGTGCCTGGATCTGTCAGGGTAAAGGGGCTTTCTGACGGATTGGAAGCTGTAGATGCCATAGATGTTGGGGGAGGAAAAGTAAACACTCCCACCTACTCTTTCTGCTGGACTCCAAATCCCTCAGAGGTCAGTCTGTGCCAAACTCTTGCTCCTCCTTGAAGAGAGAAGTCGTCTTGAAGAGAAGTCTGCTCTGCAACTTCTTCCCATGGGATCTCCAGTAAGGGTAAGTTCTGGTACCTTTCCCTCAGTATTTCACCTGGGCTCTGCTTTTTCATCTGAAATTTTTTTCTTCTTTTTGAGATGATCTGGTGACTGGATGTTGCTAGTTTGCCATCTTGCCTTCTTCCTCTTTCTCTCTCAGAGATAAATCTTTATTTTCTTTTCACGAGTGAAGCTGGCTGAGTTGATTGCCTTTTGATGATTAGATAAAATCCTATATTTTAATCAAATATAATCTTATATTTGTCATCCAAAGATAAGAAATCTTATATTCTCGTCCAATTCCTCCACTCTTCCTTTGCATCAGTGTTGTGACAGCAGCAGGAGCAGCAGAGGTGGTAGTGGCTATGGGGGCAGCAGCCACACATGCAGATGGGTCAGCCAACAAGGCCTTGATCTTTTCAGCAAGTGGGAAGATGCCATCAGTCACCCCAGACAAAGCCAGACCTACTTGTACCCCTAATGATCAAATAGGGTACAGACGCAACAGTTGGGTAACCAATCTATAAAACATACAATGACAATGTTGTATGTACCCTCTAGGACTGGGGTCCCCAACCCTCAGGCTGTTGACTGGTACCTGTACAGGCCACACTGCAGGAGGTGAGCGGCAGGTGAGCAAGTGAAGCTTCATTTGTATTTACAGCCTTTGTATTTACAGTGCTCTCCATTGCTGGCATCACCACATAAGCTCCACCTCCTGTCAGATCAGTGGCTGCATTAGATTCATAGGAGCATGAACCCTACTGTAAGCTGCACATACAAGGGATCTAGGTTGCATGCTCCTTATGAAAATCTAATGGGGAGCTGCTGCAAATACAGATTATCATCAGCAGAGAGATTTTACTGCAGAATAAATGTAATGGCCTGGAGTCATTCCCCAAACCATCCCCCTATTCCCCCAGTCTGTGGAAAAATTGTCTTCCATGAAACCATTCCTTGGTGCCAAAAAGTTTGGGGACCCCTGCTCTAGGAAGTGAAAATGCATAATTTTCTCTGTACTGAAAAACACCGCGGGGCTGTATTAAGTATGAAATGTCCGATTTCCTTAAGTACTAAGTTTGACAGTTGATATCTCTGACATTTCACTTTGATACTTCTTGTTTTAATTTTATTATGAAGGTATATCCTCAGTCTTTCAAATACATGCTTTGGCTTGTGACTATCTTGCAGATTTTTTTTTTAAGAGCAAATTTTGTGAAACCATGGGTAAGTAAAAACCTCATGTTATTTTCCAAGATGAGTTCCATCATGGAACCAATGCAGTGCAGATAGCTCAAAATAGCAATGGAGTGTTTGGGAAGGATGTAGCTAATTAACACATAATACTTTGATGGTTTGAGAAGTTCCATTGTGGTAATTTTAATCTTGAAAGTGAGCCACGTGGGCAACTTGAGACCAAGGTGGATAATGATGAGCTGAAAGCTGTAGTGGAAGGAAATCCATCTCAACCTATGCATGAAGAGGCTGACGGGTTCTGCATGAATTAAATGAGTATCAGAAGAGAAATTTTCTTGAAGCTTGCCTTTCTTTGCTGTCTCAACATAAAGGCAAACCATTTCTATACTATATCGTTACGTCTGATGCAAAATGGATTCTTTTTAACAATTGCAAGCATTTGGCACAATAGTTGGATAAAGATAAAGTGCTGAAACACAATCTAAAACCGAATATTCATAAAAAAAAAAAAAAAGCTAGTGATGTCTGTTTGGTGGTCCAGTGCTGGTATTATCCACTGCAGCTTCAGGAAACTTCGTCAGTCAATTACAGCATATGTGTCCTGCAGCCACTTGGATGAAATGATGAGGATGCTTATGATTAAGCAGCCGAGATTGGTCAATGGGGACAGGCCAATCCTCTTGCAAGAGAATGCTCGACCACATGTCACACAAACAACACTGCTCAAACTACAGAAGCTGGACTTGGAATCTCTCTGTCATCCACTGTATTCACCAGACCTCGCACCAACTGACTACCATTTTATTGAGGCTTTGGACCACTTCTTTTTTTTTTTCTTCTTGAAACAGAGTCTCACTTTGTTGCCCAGGCTAGAGTGAGTGCTGTGGCATCAGCCTAGCTCACAGCAACCTCAAACTCCTGGGCTTAAGCAATCCTCCTGCCTCAGCCTCCCGAGTAGCTGGGACTACAGGCATGCACCACCATGCCCAGCTAACTTTTTCTATATATATTAGTCGGCCAATTAATTTCTTCCTATTTATAGTAGAGACGGGGTCTCACTCTTGCTCAGGCTGGTTTCAAACTCCTGACCTCGAGCAATCTGCCCTCCTCGGCCTCCCAGAGTGCTAGGATTACAGCATGAGTCACCATGCCCGGCCTGGACTACTTCTTGCAAGGAAAAATATCTAATTCTCAGCAAGCTGTAGAAAATGCCTTTCATAATTTTGTGGACACTCTCTCTCCAGGTTTCTCTACTGCTGACATAAACTACCATTAAGATGACAAAATTGTGTGGAACGTTTAGGTGCATACTTGGATTAATTGTACTGCTTCTTGTTTGAGATACAATAAACTACACTTTTGATTTGAAATTGGACATTTCATATTTAATGACCTAATATAATGAAATCATTATACAACTCACCATAAGTTGGGGACGTCTGGTTAAGCCACCCAGTCTACAGTATTTTGTTATGGCAGCTTGAGCTGACTAATACAGAGGTCTTCTTGGGCCCCAGATCAGTGATATCACATGAGACAGTGGCACCAGCACAAATGTCAGCTGGCACCTTGGCCAGCAGCATGTCCCAGATCCAGTGAGGTCCTTAGTGAACACAAGGCCCACATTCCCCCAGATATGAGGCAACAGTTTCTCCAAAGCCAGGTTGTTTCCAGATGTCCTTGGATGGCCTTGAATATCATGGTGTTCTTGCCCATTAGCATAGTTTCCTCAGGAGGGACATGCAAATCTGCTGCATCTGCTTGGAAGCCCCCATTGTCTGCTTCTACAGTGAGGCATTTTGGACAGTCACCCAAAATTTGAATGATCTTAAGGAAGTGGTTAGACTTTTAGGTTGCCCTGTCTTCCCTGGGCATTGTGGTGCATGAGGATTGTCATACAGGATTTAAAGATGATGTCACCATCACAGGGATGCTTGGCAGGAGCTTGGCCATTACTTCTTTAAGTACTTTGTTTTTCACTCCCCGTGTCTTCCTTCTCCCAGTACTCAAATTACATTAATATCAGGCCTCTTAAAATTGTCCAGTGCTTCTTTTTTTTTTTTTTTTTTTTTTTGAGATAGAGTCTCGCTTTGTTGTCCAGGTTAGAATGAGTGCCGTGGCATCAGCCTGGCTTACAGCAACCTCAAACTCCTGGGCTCAAGCGATCCTTCTGCCTCAGCCTCCTGAGTAGCTGGGACTACAGGCATGCGCCACCATGCCTGGCTAATGTTTTCTATATATATATTAGTTGGCCAATTAATTTATTTCTATTTATAGTAGAGACGGGGTCTTGCTCTTGCTCAGGTTGGTTTCGAACTCCTGAGCTCAAAGGATCCACCCACCTTGGCCTCCCAGAGAGCTAGGATTACAGGCGTGAGCCATCAGGCCCGGCCTGTCCAGTGCTTCTTGATGCTCTCTTTTTTATTGCCTGCTTGCCTGCTTCCTCCCTCTTTTGGATAGTTTTACTATTTCTTCAAGTTCAGTCATTTTTATTTTTTAATGTCTAATCTGCTATTAATTCCATCTAGTGTATTTTTCATCTCAGAGGGTTTATTTCTCTTTTTTATATCTTCTGTATCTCAGTCTTTCCTATTGCTTTTTGAACACATACAGTACAGCTATAATAACTGTTATAATGTCTTCATCTGCTAATTCTAATATCTTTGTCAGTTCTGGGTCACTTTCACTTGATTGATTTTTTACCTTCTTACAGGTTATATTTTCCTGCTTCTTTGCAATTTTGATTGGACTTCAGACTGTTAGGTGATGAATAATTTTTGTATTATCGTAAATATTCTTAAACTGTGGTGCAGCTTGTTCCTTTTGGGTCTTGATTTTAGGATTTCTTAGTTGGGACCGAATTAGTGTTTTGGGTTAATTATTCTCCACTGCTAAGAATTAAGACTTAGTATTCTACCCAATAGCCTGTGAATGCTGAGCTTTTCCAGTCTGGCTGGTAGAAGGTATTATTCCTGGTCCTGTGTGAACTCAGGTTACTGTTCTCTTTAATGCTTTCAGGTGGTTCTTTCCTCAACCTCCAGAAGTTTCCTTACGCACATGTATTCGTCATTACTCTGTTGACTACTTGAGTGGGACTCTCTGTAGATCTCCTGAGTTCTCTCTGAAGTTGTCACTTTGTCCTGCAAATTCTGTTTAAGACTCAGCCCCATCTCCTCATCTTTGGTAGTTCGCCAGGCTCCACTAGAGCTACTCTCCCTGTGCTGCAGCCTGGAAACTCTCTTAAGGCATTGAGCAAAGGGCAATCATATGGATCATTTTGTTTACTGTCTCTCAGGCATCACTGCTTTTTATTGTCTGATTTCCAGTTTTTTTTTTTTTTTTTTTTTTTAATTTTATTTTTTTTTTTTTTTTTTTTTTGTAAGTTGTTTCAGGTGGGAGGACAAATCTTGTCACTGTTTCTCTATCTTGGCTGGGAGTAGAAGTCTGAGGGACTTGAATTTGAGGGGAAAGAGATAACAGAAAAGCTGGGGAGGAAGAGGAGAGGATGCTATCTAGAGCACAGGTGGAGCATATAACTTTATATAGGACAGGGGACACAAGTATATTGTGAGTGTTCTTGTTATTTTATTATTAATTATTAGGAGGAGCTATGTTCCTTCCTCTGATGTAAGAGGAAAGATGTCATGATGGTTGACAATGCAGATACATTTGCTGCTGGAAGGTGGGACGTTGAGGGAGTTTCCAGCTATGAAGGAGGTATAAAGTAGGAGGGTGGAGCCCACAAGGTTTGTGTACAGGGCTTGAAAGAATGGGGTTGGGAAATGGAGCTGACCCTGCAGGACTACAGAGGAGCAATATATTTTA